TAGCTGGTCAGTAGGGGGAGGTGGGGTGGTCATTTATTTGTGGGGGAGAGAGGATAGCTGGTCAGTAGGGGAGGGTGGGGTGGTCATTTCTGGGTGGGGGAGAGAGGATAGCTGGTCAGTAGGGTGAGGTGGGGGTGGGGTGGTCATTTCTGTGTGGGGGAGAGAGGACAACTGGTCAGTAGGGGGAGGGTGGGGGTGGTGGGGTGGTCATTTCCGGGTGGGGGAGAGAGGATAGCTGGTCAGTAGGGGGAGGTGGGTGGTGGTCATTTCTTTGTGGGGGAGAGAGGATAGCTGGTCAGTAGGTGGAGGTGGGATGGTCATTTATTTGTGGGGGAGAGAGGATAGCTGGTCTGTAGGGAAGGGTGGGGTGGTCATTTCTGGGTGGGGGAGAGAGGACAACTGGTCAGTAGGGGGAGGCGGGGGTAGGGGTGGTCGTTTCTGGGTGGGTGAGAGAGGATAGCTGGTCAGTAGGGGGAGGGGGGTGGTGGGGTGGTCATTTCTGGGTGGGGGATAGACAACTGGTCAGTAGGGGGAGGGTGGGGGTGGTCATTTCTGGGTGGGGGAGAGAGGATAGCTGGTCAGTAGGGGGAGGGTGGGGTGGTCATTTCTGGGTGGGGGAGAGAGGATAGCTGGTCAGTAGGGTGAGGTGGGGGTGGGGTGGTCATTTCTGTGTGGGGGAGAGAGGACAACTGGTCAGTAGGGGGAGGGTGGGGGTGGTGGGGTGGTCATTTCCGGGTGGGGGAGAGAGGATAGCTGGTCAGTAGGGGGAGGTGGGTGGTGGTCATTTCTTTGTGGGGGAGAGAGGATAGCTGGTCAGTAGGTGGAGGTGGGATGGTCATTTATTTGTGGGGGAGAGAGGATAGCTGGTCTGTAGGGAAGGGTGGGGTGGTCATTTCTGGGTGGGGGAGAGAGGACAACTGGTCAGTAGGGGGAGGCGGGGGTAGGGGTGGTCGTTTCTGGGTGGGTGAGAGAGGATAGCTGGTCAGTAGGGGGAGGGGGGTGGTGGGGTGGTCATTTCTGGGTGGGGGATAGACAACTGGTCAGTAGGGGGAGGGTGGGGGTGGTCATTTCTGGGTGGGGGAGAGAGGATAGCTGGTCAGTAGGGGGAGGGTGGGGGTGGGGGTGAGGGGTGGTCATTTCTGGGTCGGACAGAGAGGTCAACTGGTCAGCAGGGGGAGGGTGCTGGGATGGTCATTTCTGGGTGGTTAATGGTGGTGGGGGGTTGTAGCATTGTAGGCCTACTGTGTGTGTTGGGGTTGTTGTGGCATTGGGTTGTAATGGCACTGCACTATATGTATATTTACGTAACAACATTTATATGCAGGGTTTCTTTCACACAATTTTCTCCAGGGGAGGGGGCTCTTGGGAGAGACAACAGCTGGTCAGCAAGGGAAGGAGCAGAAGTGGGGGGGGGGGTGGTCATTTCTGGGTGGAGGAGAGACAACAGCTGGTCAGCACGGGGAGGGTGGGGGTGTTACGTTTCCGGTAGAGGGGGCTGAAGGCTTAAACATCCAGGGCTCTGGAACTGATAGGCCTTACATCAACAGACTAATCTCTTGCTTTGCAACATTTTGGACACTAACATTCGGGATGGGAGGTGGTGTGCATTTAAGTAAAGTAGACGCCCTATATTAAATTTATTTATTTATATTTAAAAAAAACAATAGCTCTAATACCTGCTTATGTGGTAAAATATACTAAACCTTAATGAATAATGTACTTCATTATTTTAAATATTTTTTTCTGTAGAGGATTCGATGACTGAATACGACATTATTTCCATGATGTTTTTTTTTTTTAAATTTACTTTTAAAAATAAGATATTCACATATTCTACGTTACAAAATGTGATACCTCTGACCCTCCCCTTTCTACAAATTACATTATTTTTTTTTTTTACAGACCACTAACCCCCATATTTTTTAATATTTCATTTTCAGGACCCCCCCCCCCCCAACCCCCACCTCCCCCTCCACCACAAATAGCTAATACAAAACCACTACTTTCAATATTAATTACGGAAATCATATTAATTACGAGAAAATTGCTTGCAACTTCATTAGACAAGATTCATTTTATTAAAATAATAATGGAGTTTGTTCTTTCCTTTTCTCGACATACCCTACAAAGCTGAAGTGGATAACTATCCTAAACTATAATCAGTTTGTTTTTGTGTTGTGATATTGATCAGCTCGAAATTCGATATGATTGGATGGGATTTTTCTCCAAGATGACATCATTAGTTTGTAGCCTCTTTGTCGTTCGTCGTCCCTTGGAATGGGACGTCATTAACAAGTTATATCTATAATTAATCAACGCGATAAAGTTTTTGGGGATTTTTTTTACTGTAAGGTAGTATCACTAATTCCAATTATTGATTGATCACAATTGTTTATGATGTGTGTGTGTTAGAGTACTTGTATTTTGAGTTGGCTTAGGGTAGCTTTTAATTTGTTTAGATGAACTGTACATGGTTAGGTGAAATGTGTGTGTGTGTGGGGGGGGGGGGGGCGGTGGTAGATGCATTGTACAGTTTGTGTGGGAGGTGGGGGGGGGGGTGTGGCACTGTGTTGTTGTGGGATTGGGTTGTAATGGTCCTGTACTATATGTATATTTACGTAACAACATTTATGTGCAGGTTTTTTTTTTCATACAATTTTCTCTGAGGGGAGGGGGCGCTTGAAATTTCCGGTGGAGGGGAAGTCAACGGTTAAAGTCGATATTTTCTATATAATTTTTTTCTTCTATTTCTTCGGGGGTGGGAGGGGAGGGGACAATGCCTGAAAGAAACACTGAGTACGTGAGAAATCAGTCTGACACGGTAGAACATACAAACTAGAGTTTTATGTTGTTATAGGTTGTATAACATATGTTTACCATTTTAGCCTGACGGGGAGTGTGAACATACGTGGTGTAGGTTGTTAGTAGTATTATGATCTCATGTTCAGTCTTAGGGTCAGAAACTAGGGTCAGGGCTATGGTAGGACTTGGGTTGGGGTTCGTGATAGGTTAGAGTTGATATTAGCAAGTCACATTTATGTTCATTTAACTACAATTAGTAATCTAACACCCCTTTATATGGACACGTCCATTATAGTTAGCTTATGTAGTGACCGTGGGTTATAAATCTACAAAACTTAAATATCCCAGCTACTTTGCTACACCTGAATGTGATAATGATATACCTACTGTTTACGTTATTTTTATAAGGCTCTTAACGCAGGCTTTCGAAGAAAAAAAACAAACATTAGGCCTATATCCTACAATAGCTTGCCTACTAAAATGGGAAATTTAAAAACAAAGTACTTAAAGATATCAAATCTTTATCCGCCTGATTTCTTCATCTTACAGTCACTGACTAGGGTATGCTCTAGTCAACTAATGTACTTTTGAATCGATCAAATGATAATCAATACAAATACCCGATTGAATCAATGACCAACCTTTAGACATTTGTCAAATAATTAATGTGGACCTTCTACTAAACTAACCAATAATTTACTAGTAAAAGCTCTCAACTAGATTATTATAAACAAAACAAAGAAAATTATGAAACAACTTACTTAAATGTGTAGAACACTGCCCAAACACACCCTAACACGATTACTGTGTACCTGGACGAAATTCATGGACCTATTTTTACTACAGCGATTCGACCGGTTTTGCCAGTTTCTAAAAATCTATTTAACGACTCCGAGAATTTTTTAAAAAAGCATTTGTTAGTGATGTGTTGCACGGGTGAACTGCCTGTGTTTGTTTGCCGCTCAAAAGCCTCACATGTGTAGATGTGCTCAGAGTTTTATTTAGACATTTCTTTTGGCGGGTGCGGGTGGGGTGGGGGCACTGCCTCCTCAAATAAGCCCACCGCCCACCCATTCCCCGGACGAAAGAGGAAAAATATTTAATATATTATATATATATATATATATATATATATATATATATATATATATATATATATATATATATATATATATATATATATATATATATATATATATATATATATATATATATATATATATATATATAACTAGTGTTTCTTACAGACTTTTTTCTTCGGCGTGCAGTTGAAATTTTCAGGGGGGGGGGACTAAAATTTTGGTGGGCGGACACTGTTAAAAGTATATCTTTTCTATATAAATTCCATTTCGTTCGCGGGGGGTGGGGGTGGGGGTAGACTTTCTTCGGGGGGGGGGGGGGGGGGCGAAGAGATGCCTGGAAGAAACTCTGGATCTAACTAGTGTCAGCTACCCCGGAAACGTAAGTGGGCTCCCTAACGGCCTGTTTTTTTTTGTTTCACAATTTGGATTGTAAGAGGGTTAGGGTTTAGGTAAGACCGGGGGGGGGGGGGGGGGGAGAGTTGTGGGTGGCTAATGTCAATCATTTGATAGGTAGACTTTTTAAAGGAAAAAAAAAAACAAGAAATTTCGGATTTAATTTTTTTTTTTTTTAGGAAAAGTTAAAACTATTTCGTGTACGAAAAGAAATTGTAAAAACTGTGATACAATTGTTTAGTAACCCGGTGGATTTTCTTGACCATATTGCTAATCATTTTAATGAGCCTACTGAAACTTATTGCAAATACATTGGTTCTTTGAATGACTAATAAAAAATATTCTTTAAAGAAAGTGATACAACTGATAAAGTTCAGCAAAAAAAAAAAAATACTATTTAAAATGCAAAAATACAACGTCACACTTCCCCCCCCCCCCCTTCCCCCCTCATATTACAAAAAATCCCTTCCCCATGAGTGTGCTGTCATGTATGGAATACCAATATGCTTCAAATCAACAACATTATAATAGGCCTACATATGGGGATTTAAAAATAAATAAATAAATAGCTAAGCAGTAACATAAGACATAGTTTCAGCATTATTTTACCTTACTTAAATTTGCAATAAGAAATATTTAAAAAAAAAATACAATGACTTACCCTCACTATTAAAATAGAACGTTTATACCCTATTAGTCCGTCTATCAATGAGTGGCGTTAAAACTACTGTTAAAATTTCACCTGGGCTAGAGGCCTATCGTGAATAGGTAGACCCTAACAGAAGGACTCCCCCCCCCTCCACACACACACACCACCACCTCTACCACCACCTCTTGATCTGCCTCATCTGGCACGCGCCTGATGTGGCGCCCGGGGACGGGGATTAGCCCACACCTAGCCATCACGTAATGGCGGTGTGGCGATGGGGTCAGTACAGGAAGAACGTCTGCTGTTGTTGGTTCAAGGTGTGTGAAAATGGGTGGGGAGGTAAGACAAAAAAAGATTAGGTGGAGGGGGGGGGTAACTTACGCCGATGTTTGGTGAAAGTAAGTAGCGTAGGGAGCTGGGTAAAAAGGCAAGACTGTCAGCATTAACAGTAGCTTCTTTATAGATTGTAGGTCTAATGTTGAATATTTTAACTCTAGTGATCGCCCTTTATTTTATAGAACATTGACTCAAAATGTGTTAAATTTTTAAGACGACGTCATTTTATTTAAATGAACCATTTGTCAAATTAATTTTTAATTTATATCCTACTCTTTACGTTCATTTTAAATTATTATTAAATTTTAATAAACATGTAGGCCTAAATAATACCATTTAGAAATAATAGATTCTTTAAAAAAATAGTAATAAAACTTACTTTGAAAATTAGACACATTAGCTAAACTGATTAACTATTATTACAATTTTAAAAATAAAGAGTAGAATAATGTAAAATTATTGAAAATTACTGCCTTAATTACTGCACCATGTGTATGATCAGAGTTTCTTCCAGGCATCTCTTCGCCCCCCCCCCCCCGAAGAAAGTCTACCGCCCCCCACCCCCCTCCCCCGAAAATTTCAAGTGCCCTTCCGGAGAAATAAGTCTGGAAGAAACACTGTGTTTGATTGCATCAGAAGCATTAGGTGATAATTTGAAAAGCATAAAGGGGGTCATCCATAAATGACGTCACACTCGTAGAGGGGAGGGGAGGGGGGGTCCGTAATTTTGTGACGATGTGTGATGAGAGGGAGGGGGGGGGGGGTCAGATGTTGCGACGTCACACTTTGGCATTATAAAAAAGCAATGTTAGAAAACGAATTTTAGACTTTATTTCGCGTTTTAGATAATTTTTTTAAATAAATTGTAACAGTTTAGACAAGATTTTAGAAAAATGTCGATGTTAAAAAAAAATTCAACTGCAATTTTGAGGGGGGGGGGGGTTGTAGGTTGAGGTGTGGCGTCATTTTAGGGGGGGGGTCTGGCTTTTTGTGACGACGTGTGATGGAGGGGAGGGGGGAGGTAAAAATCGTCAAAAAAAGCGTGACGTCATTTATGGATGACCCCAAAGTCCTATTCTAGATTTATCATAGTTTTAAAACCGGTGTGTGTGTGTGTGAGTGTGTTTATGTATCAAAATTACACAAATAAGATATATTCTTTTAATGCTTATGAACTATGAGTAAGGGGTCATCCATAAATGACGTCACACTCGTAGGGGGGAGGGGGGGTCCGTAATTTTGTGACGATGTGTGATGAGGGGGAAGGGGGGGGGGGGGGTCAGATGTTGCGACGTCACATTTTTGCATTATAAAAAAGCAATGTTAGAAAACGAATTTTAGACGTTATTTCGCGTTTTAGATAACTGTTTTAATAAATTGTAATAGTTTAGACAAGATTTTGGAAAAATATCAATGTTTTAAAAAAATTCAACTGCAATTTTGAGGGGGGGTTGTAGGTTGAGGTGTGACGTCATTTTAGGGGGGGGGTCTGGCTTTTTGTGACGAAGTGTGACGGAGGGGAGGGGGGGAGGTAAAAATCGCCAAAAGAAGCGTGACGTCATTTATGGATTACCCCTAACTGCCAACAGATATTGCAACACGTTTGCAAAATACACTTGGCCTAGCTAAAATTTATTTAAAAAAAAAAAAAGCTAAAAATAAAACCCGGAAATAGAACGAATTTGATAGAGTAGTAATGTCCCTTCTGCCACGTTAAAAAGTATACTGCTGTGCCCGAGTATGTTTTATGTTTTATAGACCTAAAATAGACTGTCATTTGGAAGGTCAATATAAAATTACCTTATTTTATAGACCATAATAAACATGGTGAGTAGATCTGACTATTTTTAAATAATCTGAATAAAGTAATTAGCATGATGTTTAACATTTTAATTTTGCTTTATTTTCTTGTGATTTGAATGAAAACCTGTTTTCGATAACGGCTTCAATCCGACTATCTGCATTTGTTACTTGTAGTCTTTGTATATCTAGATCTAGATCTAGTCTAGTTTCAAGTATTTTACTAATTTAATAACTATGGCCTGGAAATCCCAAAACTAGATCTAGCCCTTATTCTGGTTCTAGTCGTACTCTGTCTACTTAATTCATAATAATTAGATCTAGAATCTAGTAGGTCCTGCCTAAAATTTAAAATAAAAACTTTCAATTCCATTTCAATTTTCAACAATTTCACTAAAAAATGGCAAATTGAATAGGCCTAACAACCTTTAAATTATATTAAGATTTACATTCTAGATCTATGTAGAATGTTGTAGGTTACTCCCTTACCGTTAGGCCTAACCACACAATTTAATATAATCTGTATCTTCTACATATCTACAACACTGCTACAAGTTTTCAGTTTTACTTACCCATTGTTTTTGACCAATAAATAAAAGGCCGGTGCTAGCCGGAATAAGATGCGCATGCGCAATGGAGACAAAATACGACTTGCCAACTCGGCGATGTTTTCGATGGTACTGCGCATGCGTGTGTTTACAACCGCAGAACCCTAACACCAACCCCAACGTTGGGGAGAAAAATCTTCTTCTGAGTAGTCACTTTGTAAATAAAAAGACCCTAGCAAGGTGAACAAAACAGGGGCCTGATGAACAATTTTCTATTCTTTTATTTTTGTATGACTTATTGACTAATACATGATTTTCTGCACAATTAAAAATTACGAAGCTATTATAAAATTTTCAGGTTTCTGTAATCAATTCAGTGGATACAGCACATGAAGATATGATTGTAAGTAATGTTTCACATTTTTTAATGTTAATTGGACATTTTTTTTTTCCTTTTAAGTAATATAGGCCTATTACTTTACTTAGTAATAGGCTAGTAACTTGCCTTGTAAGTCATCAAGTTGTTTTTAAACACTAGGCCTAAAGCTTATCTAAATTTAAACATAATTTTTTTTTTAATTAACATGTAGGCTAACTGATATTTTAAATCTTAAAACTCTTAATTCTACTTATGAAAACTGAAAAGTTTTTTAGAAATTCTAATTTTAACATTTTTTTTCAGCATGATGCTCAGCTTGATTATTATGGTACCAAACTAGCAACCTGTTCATCTGACCGGTCAATCAAGCTGTTTGATGTGACCAATGGACAGCAGACACTTATCACACAGTTGAGAGAGTAAGTCATTTTGAATAGTCAAGTCAAATATTTTCTTTAAATGTAAGGTATATAATTGAATTGATGCAATCGGTAAAACTTTAGTTTCATCCAGATTAATTGTAATATATTGTGCAAGCTAGTGTTTAAAAAATATTAAAAAATAATTAAAGGATAACATTTAAACTACATGTCTTTAATATTCAGTTGAATAAATTTCTGATTATGTTGGAAGGTGTGAAAAAAATATTTCTACTTTGGTGCACTAATTGTGTGTATTTTAATGCAGGCATGAAGGGCCAGTATGGCAGCTATCGTGGGCACACCCGATGTTTGGGAATATGCTGGCATCTTGCGGCTATGATAGGAAAGTCATCATATGGAAAGAAACAAATGGAACGTGGGGGAAGCTGCATGAGTGTGCTCATCATGATTCTTCTGGTTGGTATTCTTTTTATTCTTGCTTTATTTGTGCTGCTTCTTGGCTTAAGTGTTTAGGATCATCCACACAGCTTGGATTGTTAGGTTAGGTTTGCCAGTCGCTCCTCCTGGGACATAGGCCGCTGACACTCTCCAACTGTCCCCATGTGTATCCAATCTTCTTGGTGTCTTCTTCCAGGTCTTTCTTGGTCTGCCTCTCCTCCTGCTTGGATTGTTAGGGCTGACATTTTAAGTTGTGTTCACTACTTGTAGTTACTTCATACAGTTATTTTTGCATTTTTAGAATTTTTTTTTGTAAAAGCACTCACAGAACTGCACTTTTTAAACTCTGTACAACAACATTAAACTGCCGTGTTTCAATAGTTATGTAATGTTTTTGCGTGAAATGATTTACGATAAAAAAAACTATTCGTTTTCATACTAATCTTGTCAGTGTTGTCTCTATGCTTTGAATAAAATAACTAAATAAAATTCTATGCTTAAATAGTTTAAATATTTTTTATTAGGTAGTCTAAGGTAGTAATTTTTTCTGCCACATTTCGGTAAAAAATCAAGTTTGACACTTGTTTTCCACAGTAAACTCAGTCAGCTTTGCTCCCCATGAATATGGTCTTATGTTGGCATGTGGAAGCTCAGATGGATCTATTTCTGTTATAACTTGTACAGGTGAGTCTTGTCTAATGATATTTAACTTTACAAGTAAGTGTGTCTACTTATATATGCCTGAAAGGCAGCTAGATATTAATGCCCTGTTTATCAATATGTTTTAATAAATCTTGTCCAAACATTGAATGTAATTTTTTCTTCTTCAAGGAGATGGCAAATGGGATACAAAGAAAATCAATAATGCCCACACAGTAAGTTTTTTTTCTACTTTGTATACTTATATTAAAGTCAACCTAAAAGATAGTAATTTGAGCAATGTTTGTTAACATTTTTTTTAGCATATTTCCAGGATAAACTTTAATATATATATATAATATATATATAAGATTGCTAAGTCTACTTTTAGATCTGGTGTTCTCTAATATTTTTTTCACAAGTTTTGTATGATCTTTATTTCCATGGTTTCCAAATAGCATTAATTTTAACTCTTTACATCCAGATTGGCTGTAATTCAGTCAGCTGGGCGCCAGCTACAGCACCAAATTCCTTGTTTGAACAGCCCAGTGGAAACCAAGGCTTGGTCAAGCGATTTGTCTCTGGAGGGTGTGACTTCCTTGTGAAGATTTGGGTGTAAGTGGCTTGTAGTTCCTCAACTAATGGTGAAGCCTAATATTTTATTGGACTAAGCTGTCTTTACAGCAAATAAGTAGAGTTAGGCTTAAGAAATGACTGGTTGTTTACCTTTAAGCCCAACTTCTTATACTGTATCAGATTCTAGTCAGGTATCTATTACTGATTTGTGTATTTAAGACAATGTTCAATTTCTGGGTCAGAAATTCATGCTGTATATGACCCACCATCACACTATTTATTGTTGAAATATTAACAAAAACTACAGGTGGTAAAAGTAAGCTTGAAATCTTGTTTCAGTGAGGACAATGGTCAGTGGATTGAGGAGCAGAAACTAGAAGGACATAGTGATTGGGTACGCGATGTAGCCTGGGCACATTCTATAGGCCTGCAGAAGTCAGTTATAGCATCTTGTTCACAGGTGAGTGCTCAGTGTTCAGGCAAATAATTAGAAAGCTTATTTTTTATCTAATTATAGTTAGTTAAAAATAGAATTTGTTGGTCGGATTTTAATAAGTTTTCATATTCATTTTTCAATAAAATGTCCTTTACCCCTGAGGCCGTTGGGACACTGATGTTGATTTTCTTATAGTTTTCTGCTGTTTTACTCTGTCCTCTGTTATGTGTACCTATTCCTAAGTAATTATTCAAATTTGTTAGATGCTTTGTAGTAGTGGAACTCAGTTCTCAAACTTAATATGGGGATTTTACTACAGCACATGTTAAAACTTAACTTATTGTTTATTTTTCAGGATTGTCGAGTCATTATCTGGACAAACGATGGAGTAAGTAACTCCTGGACGTCCAAAACTCTCCACAAGTTTGATGATGTTGTCTGGCACGTCAGCTGGTCAACTACTGGAAACATCCTGGCTGTGTCCGGGGGAGATAACAAAGTATGCATTTTTAGATACAAAATACGCTGTTATTTTTAAATTAATGAAAATATATAGTCTCTCCTTTATAACTGTTTATTAGGCAGTCAGTTTTTATTCTTCTATCTTAATTATAAAATTGGAGTGGAGTTTTCCTCCAACACAGTTAAGTATTACATATCAACACTTTTCTGCACCATATGGCCCATTGACTCTGGCTTCATAATGCATTTCTTTCTGGATATTCCTCCATAGCCTTTGATCAGTAATAAATAATCTGCATGGCAGGGTAGCATTTATTTGATTTTGTACTTTTCTTGCTTGTATGAGTCATTATCCCCAGCCAACACACCACATCACCCAGAGGTCTGAAGTCTGAACTTTAATAGTTTGCAAGATTCCCTGGGTTGTAGTTCTATTTTTACTTATATACAAAAATTCTATCTTACTGGTAACCCTATAAAAATTCTATCTTCCAGGTAACCCTATGGAAAGAGAACTTAGACAGCCAGTGGGTTTGTATAAGCGACGTCAACAAAGGTCAAGGTGCTATTGGAGAAAGACCATCCTCAGGATAAATTAAACAAATGACAAAGACAATCGCAGCAAATATAATTACGATTTTAAAATTCTGTTTCTGTGCATGGTTTCAATGTAGTGGAAAGTTTTGATCACAGGAAATTAAAGCATCAACAAAAATTTGAATCTTTGCTGATTTAGATCTAAGTCTTTTGATTACAAGATAATGTTACTCACACCTGTTTAAATGAGTTATGGTAGCTGACTCAATGCCAGTCTGTAAAACCATTTTAGTAACTTGGATTCAAAATATTAAATTTTCTTAAAAATCCTTCTTGGTGCAATTTTTGAAAATTGATTTTTTTTTTACGTTTAGGATTTTCATTGAAATAATTCTTAGATGTTAAATTTTTACGCTAGGTGAATAAATTTTTTGCTGGGTTTAAAGTATTTTTGTTAATTTAAATTTTCTATTAGCAGCATTTATATTTTTTTGGTTGTTTCGACTTTCTAATTGATTTTTGTTTGGTAAAATTTATGGCAATCAAAGACTAAATATTTAACACTGCGGTGTTGCCAATTTTAAAAACCCTACAATTAGTATGTTTTATTTTGTTTATATTTCTGTATGCATGTATTTTAGTAACAGTGTAAATGGTTTTTTAAAAATGAATTACACTCTATATTATTTTCACTTAAGTATTGTTAATTTATGGAATACTAGTGTATGACTTCCAGGTTTATAAAAAAGTAAAGAACAACAAAAAGGGTGCAGGAGTTTAAAATTTTAAAATGTATGATTACTTCCCTTGATTTCATGAAAAAGGAATATGGAAGATATATGTGTGAATAAATTCATGTAAATAATAGCTTGGAGTATCTTTGTTTTTTTTTCCAATTAGTACTATATAGGTTTTTTCTTCAAGCTTAAGTTTAAGTGATTTTAAATAATCTTGGTAATTTATTTGAAAAAAAAGCAAAATTCTGCATTGTTTGAGTATGGCTTCCTATGAGCTCATTTTTTACTACTTGCCTTGTTAGGTGTGGTCATGTGCTTAAAGTCTGGTCAACACATTCTAGCAAACTTAGTACATCTCATGTGAGGTAGTAGTGTGGTCAATGTCCAATCACCTCATTTTGTTACCACATTATGTGAGGTAGTAGTGTGGTCAATGTCCAATCACCTCATTTTCTGTTACCACATTATGTGAGGTAGTAGTGTGGTCAATGTCCAATCACCTCTTCATATTATTTTACCATTTCACGTGAGGTAGTGTGGTCAGCATAATGTCCAATCACCTCATCGTATTCTGTTACCATGTGTGAGGTAGTAGTGTGGTCAGCACAGTGTCCAACGTAATATATGACCAGTGTGGTCAGCATAATGTCCAATCATCTCGTCATATTATTTGGAGACCCCTGTCCAACGTAATATATGACCAGTGTGGTCAGCATAATGTCCAGCCACTATAACTTTGGTGAAATGCACATTATAAAAGTCTATAGGCGATTGAAAAGCTAGGCACTGCAAATATTTCTTCATAGGACAATGCAGATGTCAAAATTGGTAAAAAAAAAGAAACCCAAATCTTATGATATACAGTCTATGTAAAATTTCAATGTGTTTGTCCCAGAATCTGACCATTGCCAAGTTACAAATTTCATAGTTCCAGTACTTGACCATTGGCTAGTGAAAAGTATATTATTCAGTGTACCTGACTTGTTTAAAGTTACTTAAGTATGCCCAGTACCTGAAGATTGGCTAGTAAAAAGTATATCAGCCACAGTGCATAACCATTGATCAGTGAAAGGTTAAGTCTTAGTACCTGACCATTACCCAGTAAAAAATTTCTCAGTCCCAGTACCTGACCATTGTCCAGTGAAAAGTTTCTCAGTCCCAGTACCTGACCATTGTCCAGTGAAAAGTTTCTCAGTCCCAGTACGTGACCATTGCCCAGTGAAAAGTTTCTCAGTCCCAGTACCTGACCATTGTCCAGTGAAAAGTTTCTCAGTCCCAGTACCTGACCATTGTCCAGTGAAAAGTTTCTCAGTCTCAGTACCTGACCATTACCCTGTAAAAAGTTTCTCAGTCCCAGTACCTGACCATTGAAAAGTTTCTCAGTCCCAGTACCTGACCATTGTCCAGTGAAAAGTTTTTCAGTCCCAGTACCTGACCATTGGCCAGTGAAAAGTTTCTCAGTCCCAGTACCTGACCATTGAAAAGTTTCTCAGTCCCAGTACCTGACCATTGTCCAGTGAAAAGTTTCTCAGTCCCAGTCCTGACCATTGGCCAGTGTAAAGTTTCTCAGTCCCAGTACCTGACCATTGTCCAGTGAAAAGTTTCTCAGTCCCAGTACCTGACCATTGTCCTGTGAAAAGTTACTCAGTCCCAGTATCTGACCATTGGCCAATGAAAAGTTTCTCAGTCCCAGTACCTGACCATTGTCCAGTGAAAAGTTTCTCAGTCCCAGTCCTGACCATTGGCCAGTGTAAAGTTTCTCAGTCCCAGTACCTGACCATTGTCCAGTGAAAAGTTTCTCAGTCCCAGTCCTGACCATTGGCCAGTGTAAAGTTTCTCAGTCCCAGTACCTGACCATTGTCCAGTGAAAAGTTTCTCAGTCCCAGTACCTGACCATTGGCCAGTGAAAAGTTTCTCAGTCCCAGTACCTGACCAGTAAAAAGTTTCTCAGTCCCAGTACCTGACCATTGGCCAGTGAAAAGTTTCCCAGTACCTGACCATTGCCCAGTGAAAAGTTTCTCAGTCCCAGTACCTGACCATTGGCCAGTGTAAAGTTTCTCAGTCCCAGTACCTGACCATTGGCCAGTGTAAAGTTTCTCAGTCCCAGTATCTGACCATTGGCCAATGAAAAGTTTCTCAGTCCCAGTACCTGACCATTGTCCAGTGAAAAGTTTCTCAGTCTCAGTACCTGACCAGTGAAAAGTTTCTCAGTCCCAGTACCTGACCATTGAAAAGTTTCTCAGTCCCAGTACCTGACCATTGAAAAGTTTCTCAGTCCCAGTACCTGACCATTGAAAAGTTTCTCAGTCCCAGTACCTGACCATTAAAAAGTTTCTCAGTCCCAGTACCTGACCATTGGCCAGTGAAAAGTTTCTCAGTCCCAGTACCTGACCATTGGCCAGTGAAAAGTTTCTCAGTCCCAGTACCTGACCATTGTCCAGTGAAAAGTTTCTCAGTCCCAGTACCTGACCATTGTCCAGTGAAAAGTTTCTCAGTCCCAGTACCTGACCAGTGAAAAGTTTCTCAGTCCCAGTACCTGACCATTGGCCTGTGAAAAGTTTCTCAGTCCCAGTACCTGACCATTGGCCAGTGAAAAGTTTCTCAGTCCCAGTACCTGACCATTGTCCAGTGAAAAGTTTCTCAGTCCCAGTACCTGACCAATGCCCAGTGAAAAGTTTCTCAGTCCCAGTGCCTGACCATTGGCCAGTGAAAAGTTTCTCAGTCCCAGTACCTGACCAGTGAAAAGTTTCTTAGTCCCAGTACCTGACCATTGAAAAGTTTCTCAGTCCCAATACCTGACCATTGAAAAGTTTCTTAGTCCCTGACCATTGTCCAGTGAAAAGTTTCTCAGTCCCAGTACCTGACCATTGAAAAGTTTCTCAGTCCCAGTACCTGACCGTTGCCCAGTGTACTCAACCAGCACTTAGCCCATCTGTATATTTTTAGAGCCTGGATGTACCTGCAGGAAATTGTCTCTCACAGATAAGACGTGTGCAGCTGAGTACTCACCATCTTGCCCTACTTAGGTTTAAGAAAAGTCAGCACTTGAGAAGTCAACTCACAACAGATGTTAGTTTAATGCGTGTAAAAAAACAAAAAGGTAAACAAACTTATGTTATTGTGGTAAAGTGGTGTGGTAGTGGTTAAACTACAGCAAGCTTTTGAGTTAACGTATGCAAAATTTTCTTGTCATAAATCGGTGTGGTTAGCTGTATGTTAATGGTTCGACCACAAATTAACAGCCATATGATTTTAAAAAAAAAATTAGAATGGTAAATAAAAAATTGTTTAAAATGGCTGGAATCCATCGGAGGCAAATAATTTTTCGAAGTAGATCTACTCGGAATAAGATTTTTCGGCAAAAGATAGTTCTGCGCATGCGCAGTGACCTATGGCTAGGGTTAGGGCTAGAATGAGGGTTAGGGGTAGGATTAGGGATAGGGTTAGGGATAGGATTAGGGCTAGGGTTAGGGATAGGATTAGGGATAGGGTTAGGGATAGGGTTAAGGATAGGATTAGGGTTGGTATTAGGGTTCTGCGGTTGTAAACACACGCATGCGCAGGTTTAGTACAGTGATTGTCCTTAGTTGGGCGTGGGTCCTATTTGACATTGACATAGCTCATGAGCTTTGATGACCCACATAGAGCGTAGTGTGAATCATAAGTTTTACACTTTCTCAGAATTTCGATTGAACATTTCAAGGAGTTAAAATTAAGCGTCGTCTATAAATGACGTCAACAGCTATGTCGATTTTTAACCTCTAATCGTTACTTGTTGTTACAAAAAAACAACAAAAAAAAAAAAAAAAAAAACAGAAAAAAACAACGCTCAATTTCCTAAAAAATACTTTACAAAATCTCTCCCCCCTCCCACTCCTCTAAAGAAATTATAACCTAAATCAGCATATACTTGTTAGAACGACAAGGCTTTTCTATAATCTATAGTTCTGCGACAGATGTTTTCCATGAAGTGCTATGTCTGGCAGTACTTGTCGGGTTCCTCAATGAAAAGCCTCCACGTAATACTGTCTTGCTTTTTATGGTCCATATAATCATTTGAATATCGTTATACCAACTGACAGTTTAGCACACCGGAAACAACTAAAATATGTTAGGACTACAATACACAAACCACGGTGAAGCAAACTAGATCTCCTGTAACGATCTTGTACCACTGTATAGAGGAAAACCAGTGACTTTCTTGTCAATAGTAAAAACACTGAGTTTATCAAGAATGTTAGCTCAAGACACCAAGGTCGATTGAATTTAATTTTTTATCTACGCCCCTATTAATTATATTAGGTAACTTATGTTCAGAGTTTCTTTCAGGCATCTCTTTGAGGGCATCGCCCCCCCCCTCCCGAACGAAATAGAATTATATAATAATCAGAGTTTCTTCCAGGCATCTCTTCGGGGGGGGGGGGGGGGGGGCGAAGCCCCCCCCCCCCCCGAAAAAATTCTACCGCCCCCCATCCCCCCGAACGAAATGAAATTTATATAATTTATATAGAAAATAAATACTTTTAACAGTGTCCACCCCCCCCCCCCCCGAAGAAAGTCTACCGCCCCCCCCCCCCGAAAATTTTAAGTGCCCCCCCCCCCCCCCGGAGAAAAAAGTCTGGAAGAAACACTGATAATAATATACACTTTCACTCTTCCCACCCTCTATGAAAATTTATTCCGCCCTAGCCTAGAAAGTTTCAAGTGTCCCACCAACCCCTAATTATGTACGAAAAAATATATTATTTTCAGACAAACATTAGAAAACTCATTAGTTTTGATGACCCTCAATAGAGCGTAGTATGAATCATTTCGTTTTACACTTTCTTAGAATGTCGATTGAACATTTCAAGGAGTTTAAGCCTCGTCTATAAATGACGTCAACAATTGGGTCGATTTTTTAACCCTTATCGTAACGAGTTGTTTCTAAAAATGAGGTTACAAATGAGGCTACACTTGTTTAGAATGATAAAGGTTTTAAAATTGTTGTTTTGGTAAATAATGTTACATTTCGAACTAAAAGTACAAAAATGGTAATCGTTTTGTAAAAAATAACTGTGTATTTTGTTTGTACTCAGTGAATGTGTTTTTGTGTTTGTCAATGAATTTTAGCATCTTAGATCTTCAAAAATAAAAAAAAAGGTAAAGATCTGCTGTCTTTAATGACAGGGGGGCAGGGGCCCTTGACATTTTTGTTTCGAGAAAAGAGGTGTGTGTGTGTGTGGGGGGGGGGGGGGGGGGGTGAGTAGGCATAGAAATTTCTGCGAGGACAGGGACACTGGTTAAAGTTTATATTTTCTAGATACATTAATCATACTTTGTTTTTCGTAAAAGACTCGAATCCAGAGTTTCTTCCAGGACCCCCCCCCCCGAACGAAATGGAATTTATATAGAAAACATACTTTTCCCAGTATCCGCCCGAAAAATGTTGTCCGCCCCCCCCCCTTCCCCCCCTCCCCGAAAATATCAAGTGCCGCCCCCCCCCCCCCCCCCCCGGAGAAAAAAGTCTGGAAGAAACACTGCTCAAATCTGAACGGTATCGAAAGCGCCCAATTGCTTGAAATCAGTTCAACAATTTTCTATTTTTAACAATACTATAAAAAAAAATTCACGACAAATTATTGTCAGTTAAAAAAAAAAAACCTAAAAAAATCCCCCAACAAGCCACTTAGCAGAAGTGGGAGTACGAACAGACGACGAGCTAATTATGATCTCACCCGCCTAAATCCTGGTCAAGTTTTAAGTGAGCCTAGACAACGGTGACAGGAAACTGGTGTTTGAGAACTAGGCGGAGAAAAAGTTATTGTGTATACATACATGCATACGTACATTGTATACATACATACAAGGACGGAGGTTTAACACTATAGGTTTAGTTTATGAAGACTGCTACATGTGCTGAAGTTGATGGTTGTAGATTAGTAAACTATGGGAATCAAGACAGAGCTGTTACTAATCTGGGGCAATATTAGTAAGTTTTTTTCTCTTTAGTCATTTCTTAATTACCTCTGTTCTTTTTTTTTTGTTTTTCTTTCATTATCTTATTCATGGTATTAGGACTAGTGTTAGTATAACTAAGATAAAGGTTATCGTAGTGTTATAGTTGAGGCTAATACATGATTTTATTATTTTAATATTACGTGTCTTTTAACTTTTAAATTTCTTCTGTAATTCATAGTATTAGTTCTAGTGTTAATATAACTACGATAAGAGTTATCGTAGTGTTATGGTTAGGGTCAATACATGGTTTTATCATTTTAAGATTACGTGTCGTTTAACAGCTGATTAACATATATGATCGTGAGATTACGTTTAGAAGTAAATTATTAATCGACACATTGATTCTATTCCCTGTTGTGAACTGTCAGTAGGGCCTATACATTAATAAATTAATAATTATTGCACAACTCTAATTATTCTGGACGTAAAACCTAACCTTAAAAAGTTGATAAACCCTTAAAATAATTCTAGGACACTGATCCAACCCCAAGTTGAACCTTACAATTTTAACCCGTAAAACTTAGAATAAATTAAATATTTGAATGATATATTTTACTAATATTTACTATCTTACTAGACTAGGCTCGTGTAACATCACCTAGAAACAAGACTGTGTAGCACACTACAAACACAACGTGTAACACACTACAAACACAACGGTATATTAAAAACACGGACGTGTAGTGTACTACACACGCTGTCGTGTATCATATTACAAACACGGACGTGTAGCCTTATACACACGCGGCTGTATAGCACACGACGAACACGGACATCGCTACACATCAGTCATGTTCACAATCCTGTCGATTAAAGCCGATAGTAAAGTATTCGCAACTTTAAAATGTATCGAGGGCATCCGGTATTTTATACATTCAGTTTTAATTACACTCCAACGCCTTAATTAATGGGTAATGGAACTCATTGAGGTCAAGACGAATATTTCGATAGCGCACTGTTAGCTTTCTATTACTCATTTACCTAATAGGGCCATTACTTTTCATTCCAATGTAAGAACTGTAATCATTTTTAGGTTTCACCTCACGTATAAAGTTATCCCTCACCACTTATCAAACTTGATCAATTTCGTAATCAATGAAGTTTAGTACACTGTATTAAGCACTTCGTTTTAATTAATTAATGTTAAATTCAAGTAGCCCATCTTCGGTATTACCCCCCTCCTCACCTCCATTTCTTCCCCAATAAATCACAATTTAAAGTTGCACCAGCATTTCCCACAACGCCTATGTCTTGTAGTTTACTAATCCAACTACAAACTTTAACTATTTTATCGCATTTTTTTTGTTTTCTTTATTTTCATATTTTTGTATTCCTTGTGATATTTATCTCATATTACTCTTTCTGGCCAACTATTTCTAAAACACTACAAATTACAATCTAGAACACCACACATTTCACTCTAAAACACCACGCATTTCAGTCTAAACACCACGTATTCTCCCCCAAAATACCTAAAACACCACATATTTTCATCTAAATCATCACATATTTCAACCTAAGACACCACACACTTCACGTTAAAATACCATACATTCCACTCTTAAACACCACACATTTCACTGTCAACACCACACATTTTCCTCTAAAACACTACGCATTTCTAAAACACATTTCAGTCTAAAACACCACGCACTTCACTCTAAAACATCACACATTTCACTCATTTCATTACTACACATCTTCTTTCAATGACGTAACTCAAATAAATGATTCCTTAAATCTTTATTTCAAATAATCTCATTTCACATATTTAGTCTATTTTTACATAATGACACCTTTAAACAACATCGATTAAAACATCACATCTGTTAAACTAAATTACATACCACTTCGTTTAACAACGCCACACTGATCGAGACATTTTAAAACTACTTCACAGAAAATATCACACCTTTTATCTTTCTTTAGTTGCCCTGGTCATCTGCTGTCCACACGAAGCCATAAGAAGATGCCAGTACTACAGCATGGTACACGCGGTCGACTTCCACGCTTTTATCCCTAGGTCTCTCTACGAAGATCAGTGCTAGTGAGTACCACTTTTACAAGAGATGTGTGGGATTCTATAGGAATTTTGTTATTAAATGATCGTGTCCATTCCCATTGTCTTCCTGTTACTTCTGTATTACTTAGTACCTCGTAAATCCCATTCTTTTTAATTGCATCCACTCTATTCCACCTACATCAAGTTAAAGAAATCAATTACCTTAACCTCTCTATTCCCCTCTACGGCTAGATACAACCTTGACCTTAACCTCTCTACTTACAGCATTGACCTTAACCTCTGTTCCCCCTTACAGCAAGTTACAAACAGCCTTGACGACCTACATCAAGCTACAAACAGCCTTGACCTTAACCTCTCTATTTCCCCGACAGCAATCTACAAACAGCCTTGACCTTAACCTCTCTATCTCCCTACAGCAATCTACAAACAGCCTTGACCTTAACCTCTCTATCTCCTTACAGCAATCTACAAACAGCCTTGACCTTAACCTCTCTATCCCCCCCGTAGCAAGCTACAAACAACCTTGACCTTAACCTCTATATTCCCCCTACATCAATCTACAACCTTGACCTTACCCTCTCTATTCCCCCCTCCCCTACAGTAAACAACGAACAGCCTTGACCTTAACCTCTATATTCCCTCTGCAGCAAACTACAAACAGCCTTGACCTGTGTTGAGAACATCCAAAAGGCCAACAAAGGATGTCACGAGATGCTACAGTTGCCATTTCACATGCAGAAACAGGTGGTCCAAGCCGTCTGCATCTCCAACAGACCAGGTAACCATTAAAGCATTTTTAAAAAAAGAAAGTTAGTTCAAAATAAATGTAATATTTTTTCAATAAGTTAATGTAATATTGTTTTAAGAATCTACAACACAGCGACAGGTTAGAAGGTACCCAAATCTAAACTCGTGAAAATAACATTTAAAAGAAATCTTTTATCAGGAAAAAATAACATTGATTTCTTAACTTGCAAACTACACAAGCGTAAATTTTCTCGATCTATTTATTTTCAATACCGGCACGTACACCTTTTTGAAAGTAAATTAGGTGTATATCATTTCACCAATTAGACATAGTATCAAAGTTGCAACTTTGATACTGCACCAACACAAGTGACGTACGCAGAGTTTCTTCCAGGCATCTCTTCGGGGGGGGGGGGGCGAAGCCCCCCCGAAATTTTTTTACCGCCCCCCCCCCCCCGAACGAAATGAAATTTATATAATTTATATAGAAAATATATACTTTTAACAGTGTCCGCCCCCCCGGAGAAAGTTTGCCGCCCCCCCCCCGAAGATTTCAAGTGCCCCCCCCCCCCCCCCGGAGAAAAAAGTCTGGAAGAAACACTGGACGTACGTTTCGTAGATACACGGTGCGTCTTTTTTACAGCAGAGTTTTGCTTGGACGATCCAACGATTTAGTCAACAACATTTTGGGCAAACAATGTCTTTTAAATGCGCTTAGACTGAGAAAGTTATAGAGAAAAATTTTCTGACATTTTCGAAGCTACATAAAGGCTATTTAACCTCAGTTGATATTTTCGGACTATAATACTATAATAGTGTTCACTTTACGCTGATTCGGTGAACGGCCCTAGGCAACAATCAGCGACGAAAACGCCATGATTCCTGCAGAATTTTTTATCCCCCCCTTCCAGAGTTTCTTCTAGGCATCTCTTCGGGCTTAGCCCCCCCCCCCCCCACCCCGAAAAAATTCTACCGCCTCCCCGAACGAAATGAAATTTATATAATTTATATAGAAAATATATACTTTTAACAGTGTCCTCCCCTCCGAAGAAAGTCTGCCGCCCCCCCCCCCCCCCCCGAAAATTTCAAGTGCCCCCCGGAGAAAAAAGTCTGGAAGAAACACTGCCCCCTTCCCCTTCCCCATACACACATACTATGGATTCATTTGAATGTATATTTTATGGGCACATATATATAATTCAGTGGTTCTTAACATGGGTTCGATTAAACCCCAAGGGTTCAGCACGTTAGTCTCAGGGGTTCGGCGGAGGTCAAGACACACACCTGACTCGTTTGATTCCCAATCGGATTTTGTTAAATAGAACTATTAACAAGGGTTCGGTGAATGCGCATTTGAAAGTGGTAGGGTTCGGTAACTCCAAAAAGGTTAAGAGCCACTGTATAATTATCAAGTAAAATTCCATATAGATCTACATCTTTCACGTCATTTTCAGACTACATGGAAAGCGTTGATTGTTTTACGCAACCAAAGGTCTCCACCCACCTTAAAGAAAGCTGCTTGGGACAACTCTTGAAAAATCAATCATGCAGGTATTCATGAGTTATCTTATGGTCTATGGAAGTCATTAGCCTACATTTATTTTAACATTACGTTTCTCAATCTTATAAAAACTGAAAGATTAATAACAAAACAAATCCTTACTCTGTTATTAGCTCTATTCTAATCAAATCATGTCGTGTTTCATGCTAAGTAGGGGCATATTCAAAGTAAAAAAAAGATAAAAAAAACAAACAAAAACATGAGCGTTCGAGTTTGACAAGTCATTGCTATTGATTCAACATCTTATTTTATCTCCAGTACTTTGGATACAATCAAATCGTGCGTCTATGACGTCATCAAAATGACCCACAACTGCACGCCCAAGCACGCTAAATTTATGCAACAACTGTTTTTTTTGTACACCTCTTGGTTTCACAACATGCACCGTTGTCCTGTGGATTCTATAGGTAATTACTTTTTCTTAGTGACTTGTATGATACTATAGGTAATTACTTTTTTTTTAATTGAATCTTAAGATTCTATAGGTAATTACTTTTTCTTAATGACTTTTATAATTCTGTAGGTAATTACATTTTCTTCTTGGCTCTTAAGATTTGATCTTAGAGATTTCAGTTATAAATAAACTAAATCAGTTCATGGGGTTTGTGAGCATTGGGCAAACTTGTTTTAGTAATGTAACGATGAGTAGATCAGTAGCGTAACAAATGTGACAAACGCCCGAACTGAAACTTGTCCGAATACGTCAAAATGTCCGAATGGACACTTGTCCGAAAGCGACAACTGCCCAAATGGACACTTGCCCGAATGCGACAACTGCCCAAATGGACACTTGCCCGAATGCGACAACTGCCCAAACGGACTCTTGCCCGAATGAGACAAATGCCCGAATGAACACTGGCCCGAAGGCTATTTACCCGGAAAATAATTAATTTTTTTTTTAAACAACACGATCTGAACAATTCAATGTCTCAAGTAATCTATGGTCTAATTAATCTATCCGTTAAATCCTATCAACTAAGTTTTCTGTCAGCTAATGATTGTAACAGTTCAATAATTTATGAATTAAACAATACATGGGCTTTATTATTGCTTGCTAAATAATCTATGAAATAAATTATATATATATATATATATATATATATATATATATATATATATATATATATATATATATATATATATATATATATATATATATATATATATATATATATATATATATATATATCAGCTAATTGACATTTGCGTTACTTTATCTGTAAGCGATCTATGTCATACACAAATTAATTAATTTGTCGATTTATATAAAATTTTTGCCTGACTTTTTAAAAACAATTGTCTGCTACTTGTAACTAAGAAAATATTTTATTTTATTTATCGTGAGCGTATTCTGGGTCTGGGTATATATTTTTACAGGGTTTAGACTAATACAACACACGTGAGCCCATTCAGCTACCTTGCGTACCCAAACTTAATTGGGAGAAGTTAACGCTGCTAAGCGTCAATATAAAACTTGTGTGAATCCTCCTTTTAGACGTCGCTATAAAAAAAGCTTCATCAAGTTTCTTTTTTTTCTACATTGCACTATTTTTTTTCAGATTTAAATCAAACAACAGAGAGTATCCCCAGTTCAACACCACCCCAACTCGAACCCACAACATCAACAATCTCCACAGACCCAGCTACCACCTCCCCCACACCCACGGAGCTAACGTCTACTGACACGACGCTGGGATCCACATGGAAGCCACCCATCTCCCTACCCCCGGCTACTTCAACTTTTCTAGAATCTTCCACCCCCACTGAGACCAAGTTACCTGCAATGAAGGAGGTTCACGCGCCAAGGTACGCTAGCACCAGAGGAACAAGGAACAACTCAAATCGTCTCAGTTTTAATAACTCTTTTCTTCTTCTCATGTTTGCTATCAAACGGCTGATATTCTAGAAAGGTCTATTATACAGTAGTGTGTTCATTATTGTAAGCTTCGAATCTACGGTAAGCTAGAAGGGGGTTCTTTCAGGCATTTTTTCTCGGGGGGGGGGGGGGGGTTAGGGGGGGAGGCCGACGTGGACGGACGCTAGTCAAGGCATATATTTAAAAAAATGTAAATTACATATTTTTCCTGCTATTGTTTTCTATCTAAGATTGAAATTTTAGGAGTAGACAGTGGTTTGTTTTGGTGTAAATTATCTGACAACGAAAAAAAAAATTGAACTTATGTTCAATAGGGTAGCATTGTTGGTGTGGTTTGCACCAGACGTTAGGGGTAAAAAAAAACAACAACATTGATATTAATTTAATCAACTCTAATGCTTAGTTTTTGTTCGCTACACTATTTTAGAAAGAAAATAATTGCATTGTAGTGCTGGAACAGATATTTATTCTCAGGTTTATAAAAATAAAAATTAAAGATTACGTTTTAGTGCTACGTGTGGCTTAAATCTAGGATTAAGTTGCAGTATCGACCATTGTGCGCGGTATAGATTCACTTTATAAAACTGCGAGTCATTCTATGCTTTGGTAATTGGGTAAGCCAGAAGAGGGAATTTTCGTTTACACTGTTTAATAGTTTTGACAAAATAGTCGAGATTTATTCGCAAGAATTAATACATTTTGAAAAACATATCACCTTCAGGCTCTTGCGTAATTTCATGAAATTTGCGACCGGTTTTTATTTTGTTCGGAATAATCAAATTCAGCAAATTAAAAAAAAATCATCTCTTTTTAAAAACAATAAATTGGGCTCACGGAAGCGTTTAGAATGAACATACTATGCAGTTAAAAGTAATTAACCGACATTTAATATTTTTTTCATACCAAGCATACAGAATGGGACGATTTGTGTTTAAAATATGGATCTCAGAAAATACTTCTTTGTTCATAATATTTACCCTAAACTTCAAGTTTGTGTCGACGTTATAATCCCAAACACAATTAAGTGTTCAAAATTTAATCTCAAAAAATTATGTTTTTGACATCTAACTTAACTCAAACACAATAATGTATTAACCATTTAATCTCAAACTACAATGATGTGTTAAGCATTTAATCTCAGACACATTTTTGTCTTTAACATTTAGCCTCAAACCACAATTATGTGTTCAAAGTCTAATCTCAATCACAATTATGTGTTCAACATTTAATCTCAATCACAATTATGTGTTCAGCATTTAATCTCAACCACAATTATGTGTTCAACATTTAATCTCAATCACAATTATGTGTTCAACATTTAATCTCAATCACAATTATGTGTTCAACATTTAATCTCAATCACAATTATGTGTTCAACATTTAATCTCAATCACAATTATGTGTTCAAGATTTAATCTCAATCACAATTATGTGTTCAACATTTAATCTCAATCACAATTATGTGTTCAACATTTAATCTCAATCACAATCATGTGTTCAACATTTAATCTCAATCACAATTATGTGTTCAACATTTAATCTCAATCACAATCATGTGTTCAACATTTAATCTCAATCACAATCATGTGTTCAACATTTAATCCCAATTTACAATTCATTATTCTCTTGCCATAATTTTGTGCTCATCATCTTAGTCTTTATAAATATTTCTACACGAATTAAATCTTTAAACCACACAACACCAGAATTGCCATTCTCCGATATTCAGTTCAAAATTGAAGAATTAACATCTTTAATAGCAGACCGTAACAGAGGCGTAGCTAGGGGAGGGCGGGTGGGGCGGCCGCCCCGGGAACTGACCCTCGGGGGCGCCAAACGGGGTAGAAAGAAAAGCTCCTTCTGAGCTGCAAGAACTCAAATATAGGCCTACTCAGTCAAATAACATGGCTTTTAGGGCTTATTTAGCTGTTTTATGTGACACCAAAATAACCGTTAAGGGAAAGTGACTGGTAAAAAGATTTTTCGCTATTTTAGTAACTATATATAAACCGTGGGGTGGGGAGGAGCGCCAAATGAATAGTTCGCCCCGGGCGCCGCAATGGGTCGCTACACCTCTGGACCGGTGAAACTACCCTGGTTTCGATTCAATCAGATCTACAAGCTATTTTAATATTTTGTCACGTTTAATGCCCGACTAATCGTTTGTTTTACATTATGTAAAAAGAGTCACGTAGTTGAAAAAAAAACATTATTTTACTATAATAGGATTTAATAAAATAAGGAATATTTTTTCAATCTCTAGGACTATAATATTAAGTTAAATATAACCCATCTTAATCACAAAAATGATATCTCACATAATTTTTTATTCGGCTTAAATTTTAACCGGGTGAGTGAAGACTGGTTGTACAATAGAAGTAATGACACGCCCTATCTCTTTATACCATGCGGTATCAAATTCACCTACCCTATCGTGGTTATCACATTCGGTTTTAGTCTACAAGAAAACAAGTTAAGGGTTGATTATGGAGTTAGGCTCTAGCTTGGGTTAGGGCTTAGGCTTTACACAGATTACAAGCTATTTTTTAAAAAATTATTATTGTTTATTACGGTTAAAATCTATGTAATATATATATATATATATATATATATATATATATATATATATATATATATATATATATATATATATATATATACCTTAGCTACACGGCAGCAAACAGTAGTTAACGGTAATATTGGCCTACAATGTTTTTATATTTACTGTGGCTCTAGGTTTTCTTTGCCGACTGTTTTCTTGCTGATCTCAAAGTGCTTGTTTAATAGCCGATCTTTTACAACGCTGTAACACTATGATATTCGGTTACATACGAGTGCATTTATATAGATACAATTAATATGAATTCATAGTATATACATTATATATATTATACACAAGCGACACCCCTCCACACACACACCAACAAATAAACGCACACACACGCCGTAAGATTTATTTTTGCAGGGGTCGGTGGGGGGGGGGGGGGGGGAGGGGGGAGAAAGGGGGATGAAATCACATGACCTGATCATTACGTTTCGGCTTTATATTATTATCTATTAAAAGGGCATTAGGGGGACGATTAAGTCAAATAGATTTTAGCTTGACAATCACCCTTCAAACTTGTACTCATTTATGGGATTTAATGAAAATATTTCATGCAGTATATTATATACAGCTTTGTAAGTTTTTACCATATCCTTTTTATGTACTTCAATATATATTTGAAAACCGATTGTTTCAAAGCCAAAGAATAACATATCAAATTATACATAGTTTTTGCTTACTCATGTAAATAAGCTGTAACATAAATATATGTATCTAAGCTAAGTGTTATATATAAGATGTATGTAAAACTAAAAGATATTTCTGTAGAGAGTTATTAAAAATAAGCAAAGGACTAGGTAGAATAGATATTTAGGAGCTTATCATTTCCAAAGATTTCAGTTCGAAATATTTTCTTGTTACCTATGGCTATTATTAGTATTATACAACCAAATTATTTTTAAGGTTTTTAAATTAGTCAAGTTCATCAGTTGTATTATTCCGTGGTACTTTGGCATTATGTGAATTGATGTAAAGTGTGCAGCTCTCTACATTTGTGTAAATTGTAAGCATGTTTAACCATGTACATAAGTGATAGTAAAGATGGATATAAACTTGTAGATAATGTAAATATGACTGATACACTCTACTCAATGATTATATAATTTGTGTCATGTTCTTTCTCCAAATGGATGCTAAAAACAAAGGTATTTTTAAAAACATTAGGTTAACAATCAACTAGAATATTTTTTGTGTTATTTAATGGTTTGGTTTCAACTAGTGCTGATTCGATTTCTAGGGGGTCGTCCATAAATGAAGTCATACTCAAAGGGGGAGGCGGAGGGTCCGTAATTTTGTGACGGTGTGTGATGAGGGGGAGGTGGGGGGGAGGGAGGGGGGTTAGATGGTGTGACGTCACACTTTCGCATTATAAAAAAGCAATGTAAGAAAACGAATTTTAGCCTTTATTTCGCGCTTTAGAAAACTGTTTTAAAAAATTGTAATAGGAATTGATTAAAATACTCTATGTTGACAGAGTTCAGACAAGATTTCGAAAAATTTCGTATTTTAAGAAAAATCCAACAGCAATTTTGAGGGGGGGGGGGGTTTGTAGGCTGAGATGTGACGTAATTTTAGGGGTGAGGGTCTGGCTTTTTGTGACGATGTGTGACGGAGGGGTTGGGGGTGGGTAAAAAGGGTGTGACGTCATTTATGGATGACCCCCGTTTTGTATTGTGTATAAGTAAACCATCTTAAATGATTACAATTACATGTCAGAAAGAAACATTACTATTGTAAATCTGTATCAGTCCTCACACGCTGATGATGAAAACTACTCGGGAAAACATGGCAAGGTAAAAAGAAGCTGTAAATTACATGTCTCAGGCAAATCAAAAGTTAATCCGGGCTTCTGCTTTTCGCATTATAGATAACATTGGAGCAGCAAATGTTTTTCAATTTTAACGTCACATTAATGAAGCATGTGCATAAAGACACTATCAAACATTATATTGCTTGTTTTAAAGTATTTAAAAATTTGAGTAAAGATAATGTATTCATGTTTTTTAAATTGTGTCATTAGAACAAAGAAAATCAATTCATGTTTTGAAGTATGTATTTTTTTCTTATAGTAGTGTCAATAAACTAAGTTGTATATCTGTAAAAATGACAAATTAAAATATTTTGTATTTTTAAATGTAAATAAAGAGATATGTATTCAATATTCGTAGGTTGCATTTTAAGTTAATACAATACGATAAAAACATTACTGTTAATTATCTGTCGGCGTGGTCGAACACGATAGCGCACGACTGGTAACCCTGAAGTGCCGGGTTCGGATCATGGACTTGGTTTCAATAGGCCGTCCATGCATCCATCTGATAGAGTCAGCTACTTTACAGACCATGAGGTCTTGAAGGGCAACACAGAAACCTCACACACGAAACATACTTGGTAATGACTTAGGTGTGTTGTTTTTTTACAAGCTTTCTTTGTCTGTCGTCAGTTTGTCTATTCGTCCTCATAGATCGAAACGGGCGAGTGAAATTTCGGGCACTTCTAACAGACAGATTCGATTCAAAGTTGGCTCGTCGGTCCATAGAGACAATGCAATCTGATATAAGTTTGACTTAATTGGATGAATAATTAATGTTTTATGAAATAATTAAAATTGTGTCCAAATCACTAGGCAGACTAATCCAACTATTCCGCGCGTTATCATGTGCGCAATGGTTTTTAGTCATGCAACTCTATTGTAAATTTTAAAAAATCAAGTACCGAAAAAAAAAATTCATAAAATAAACGTTTTAAAAACAAGCTTTTGTGTAATAATGCACTAAAAAGGAGAAAATAAATGTTCTTCTTTAAATATATAATAATACACTACTATTTAAACACCTACAAAGAAAACCGTGGTTTCCTTCCTAAATATTAGTAACTGTATTTAATAGATAATAAAATGATCCGCGCTTTTTTTATAGTTATTTAAATAGTGGTATTTTATTAAAAATAAAAAAAATCATTTTTTTCTACTTTTTAGTGCATTATTACGCATTATTACATAAAAGCTTGTTATTAAAACTTTTTTAAAATGAATTTTTGTATGATTTATTGTTGTTGATGTTGCGTTACTGTATGCTTTGTTTTGTAGTGTTTAATTGTATGTGGAGTTGGCTTTTAAATATATAGGCCATATATATTTGCTTATATAATAAAATGAAGTCAAAAGTATTTGAAAATTCAATGCGTATCGTTTAGGACTGATATAATATCGTAGCAAGGCAATCTTTATCGAGGCATCTACAAGTGTGTATCTTAGCACTAGGTCAATACGAGTATCTGATAGGTTGTTCCTTACAAGGTGAGCTATATCTTATATTATCTTATATTATGTCCAGGTGTACCTTTCAGATCTGAGATAATCCGTTTCATCAACAATCCCCTCTAATCGCGTACAATGGTCGGTCTATGACCCGCCTAGCGAGGTGGTCATTCCGCAAAATAAACAGTTGACGTCACTTTAATCCAACATAGTGGGAGGGTTTACAATTGAACTTCTTTGATTTGGAGAGTATCCATTGAATATTTTATATATATATATATATATATATATATATATATATATATATATATATATATATATATATATATATATATATATAAATATAATATTCAATGGATACTTAATAAATAAATAAATACTTAATGAATATACATAACATATGTAAATCATAAAAAAATAAAAAAATATATATGAATAATTATATATATATATATATATATATATATATATATATATATATATATATATATATATATATATATATATATATATATATATATATATAAATAGAGAGAGAGAGAAAGTAGCAATTAAAATGTTTGTTAGAACGCTCAAATACATTATTGCAAAAGTATTCAACGTGAGTCTGTTATGACATGTCATGTCAACTTTAACATGTCATGTCACATCTAACGGTGACCAGAAAGATGCGCAACTGAAAACTGTGCACAAAAAAGTGCGCAAGGGCATTTATGTTTTCTAAAATCTAGTGTATTAGTGTAATTATTTTATATTTGCGGATTTTCCCGCGGCGCAGTTTTCCTACTGATTTCTTGTCAACTTTAGCACGTCACATCTCACTTGACATATGTCACGCTTAACATGGCATGTCAAAAAATAAGATGTCATGTTAGCAATAACATGTTATGTCACGTTTTAACAGGTCACATGAGCAACAACATGTCCTGTTGACAATAACATGTCGTGTCAACAATTACATATCATGTCAGGTTTGAACATACCATGACAACTTCAGTAAATTATGTCAACACATTCATCTTGCCACCATCAATAAACACACCGTTTTGTCTTGTATAATTACTACCACGACAAATAAACGTTTAGTTTCGCGACACATCCGTCTGCATCGGTCCATAGAGCAGATGAAGTAGAGTTCACCTTTATCTGTTACCACGAACTACTGTGGTCAGCGCTATACCCAGCCACCTTAACTTTCCCTAACGTGAGTCAGGTACCCATCAAAGCTTGCTAGACTCAGGTACGTCCTACATACTCACGCCTGGGATCCGAACTCGATACATTCGGGTGAGCAGTCCTACCCTTGACCATTCGATCACTCAGTCACCTATTTTCGATGACATTTTTTTTTCTTTTTATAAATACTAATACAATAAAAATAAAACAATATCGAAATAAAAAGTCTTATACTGTAATTGATTTTGAAATAAATCGACCCTAACTGGGGTTAGGTTAGAGACGGCTTAAGTCGTGGGTTTAGTGACGTTTGTTTCAGGTGACGTGTCAAGGATTAGGACGTCACCAGGTGTGGTGTCAACAAAAATCAACAAGGGAGATAACTGAGGATTAATCGGATTAAGAAGATTAGCGTTTGAAACGGCGGGAGTCGTGAAAACTACTGAAGCGCGACGCACGCGAACCTTGGATAACCGACCAATCACTAGAAATATTACGTCATTTGATAGCTACATTTAATTAAGTCGTATGTTCCTAGTACACGAGTTATAATGTTTTTCTTTTCTAGAACTATTGTAAATTATATTTTTAGAACATATTTTGACAATTTAACTATTATTTGCTATTCGAAATCTGGTATATAAAGTTTTAATGTTATGTGCTAAAGGCTTTAGCAACCATAGTTTTGATTTTTTAAAATTCATCATCACGAAATCTAAGAAAACAGTGTCATTTGATGTTTGTTTGTTTTTAAGTTAGTAGTGCTTATTTACTTTAAAAAAAATAATAGCTTCAATTTAGATTTCTACTTTACGTAGATTTTGTTAATCTAAAATTAGAATGTAACATTAAATAGGTACTTTCCCGTCATAAAGGATATTTAGCAGTGTTTCTTTCTTCCGGGTGGGGGGGGGGGGGAGAACTAAAACTTTTCGGGAGGGGAAGGCGGACTAAATTGTCCGGGGGGGGGGGGGGCAACATTGGTACAAGAATATAAATTCTACATAATTTCTATTTTACTGACCCCCCCCCCCACCCCATCCGAACAGAGGCGTAGCGAATTAAGCGCGGGGTGGGGGGGTACATATGTCCTCGGGCGCCGACCACAGGGGGCGCCAAAATTGGTTGGAAATGTTTGAAAGAAACTCTAACGTTCAGGATCAGGCTAATAAGAGTTCGGTTTAGGATGAATAATTAAGGCTGGCTATAATTAATACTATTGTTATAGAATGCGATCCGTTTTTTGAACATCAGATGGTTTAGTGATCTATTACAATAGTAAAACATAGTCAACGAATTCATTACTGAGTATCAAATATATTTATATACAAAAATTACATCTAGTTAATTTTAGTCACGTTTAAAATCAAGTAAAATGTTAAAGGTAAATAAAAGCTCTACATGTACCATAAAAAGCAAGAAATTAAAATGTTATATGTAGACTATATATATATATATATATATATATATATATATATATATATATATATATATATATATATATACATATATATATATATATTTATTTATTGCCAAAATATATAGCCATTTATATATGTATATATATATAGCCTATATGCACACAAATATATAGGCTATATATGTATATATACTATATATATATGTATATGTATATATACATATATAAAAATGTATATAAGGCAATATATTAAAGTATATATTTACATATATATATATATATATATATATATATATATATATATATATATATATATATATATATAAGGCAATAGTCCTCTAAATAAAACAATTCCAATGGTAACGTGTAAAATCCATATTCAGAACTCACTCAAAAAGTAAAGAAAACTATGTTTGATCAGTGCGGAGGTACGGTACCATCACACTGACAAGGAAAAAAAAATATCCCGTGAAAGCGTTCCAAAAGAGACTGACAAATGTTACTGATTAATTGAACTATTTGTAAGAAAGTCTGTTTGGATAAAAAAAAATATATATTTCAATTAAAAAAAAATAGTTGGGCGCGTTCTGGCGATGCATTTAGGCGTAATGAAAGCTAATGAGAGGGTTGTTGCAAACTTTGGCTGGTGGCGTACAAACAGCGTTTCAACGTTTGGACGCAGAAGGTGAATTGGGGACTCCGACTTCAAAGAGACAACCGGGGAAAAACACATTTTGAAACGTAGAGCGCGGGTATGAGTAATTGGATGCGGGATGCCGTGGTTGGTTTACCGCGAATTTTTTTTTTTTTCAGTTTGGTAACTCCATTAATTCGCCATCTACGTCGACGTGACTACTTGGGATATGCTGTGGCTACGCTATCGAGGGTTTGATAATGGAGTGGTGGTGTGGGTGGGGTGGGGTGGGGGGAATCCTGAATCACCTAGAGCGATAACGAGTCCCGGGCCACGCCTACATTGCCAGATAAACCTTGCAGGTGTCGACCAATCAGGGTTAGTCGAGTCACAGCGACCAATGACGGGACACGATTTTTTTTTTTTAATTTTTGGTTAAAGAAAAACAAAATTTTAGTCGAGCCAAACTTAGGAGTTAGCTCATGGCGACACAGGAAGATTAAAAACCGCAGGTTGTTGTCGTATTTGTAGCAGACGATACGCCTGTTTGAGTCAGTTTGCCTGCAGGTTTTGAAATGCAGATGGGACACAACAGGATTCGAACCGGTACACACGCGTGCAGTAGGATGATTCCTAGTTTGTGTTGTTGATAACAATTAACGCTCAACGATAACAGCTGTGGTGTTGTTGTAGAGAATTTAATCCAAACAATTTTTACTTAGTTTAATTACTTAGCTTACGGCGTGTGTTGTGTTGTGTGTTGATAATCCGAGCTACACATATGTTGTAACCGAATAGCAACAACAGCTATGGTGATATCTTATGTTTTTACAACGCGGCTAATTTATTGATACGGCTGCTGATTTTTAAAAAAAAAACAAAGATCAATTCCAGGAGTACATACGTCTAGTTATTAAGTGGCCTCCAAGTTTGAAATCTATGACAGAAAACAACGAGATTATGCAATCGTCACACTTCGACGCGTATTCTGGAACTATTTACGGAACCCCAGCAGGATTTGATAGCAGCACTGGGAAGACCCACCTTCCTGGTTATGCTCCGGAACCCGATGGAGGGTGCTATTCCACCTACGGCGCCCCATCCTTGCAGGCCATGTCTGGCTACAACTGCAGGGAGACTTCCGGGTACTCGGAAACCTCTTCTTTTTTGCATTCCGGATTTGTTTCTAATTACGGGAACGGGAACTATTACAAAATGCCCACTCGGCAGATGGAATTAACGGAATACAATTCCATGACGATGTCTAGGTGTCAAGAAAATTTTCTTATGAAACCTGAATCGGCTTTGTCGAATTCACAAAACTTGTACGAGCCGGATAATCAAATGAATGTTCACAGCGAGAGAAATCACCACCTCCACCAGCATCACCAGCAGCCACATCTACAGAGCGACCAGCACACAAAAATAGACCACGAACAGGTCGCGACGTACCACGATTCGACCCCCGCGCTAGACGACCCCAAACGCCTGCACGACCCCACGATTTACGGGCTGAACCCAATCAAACTCGAACCCCCGACCTCACATTTAGACTACAAAACCTCATCGTCCTCGTCTTCATCCTCCACACCATCCAACCCTCGGAGTCTACACCAACAGGAAACAGTTTTAAACACCGCTTCTTGCGAAGATACCTCAACACAGCCAACACAACCTCATTATCTCGAACCCAAAAACGATAAATTACTCGGACTTGAATCTCCGTTAGAAAAACAGACGTCGTCTGCCGGGAAAGACTGCGCAGACGAGAAGAGAGATGAAGACACGTCTGCTGATGCTAAGCCGACCATGTCGTACATTGCTCTCATCGCCAAGGCCATCTTGGAGTCTGAGCAGAGGAGGCTGAACCTGGGATCTATTTATAACTGGATCGAGAAACATTACCCGTTTTATAAGAACAAGGGTCAAGGTTGGAGGAACAGTGTTCGGCATAATCTCAGCCTCAATGACTGCTTCATTAAGGTCAGTTCATTTGCTTGATTGTTGGTTAATTAGAGAAAACGTATGGGACTTAAAGATTGGTTAATTGTAAGCCACGAGTCTTTAAGAATCATTATTTATAAGTCAATTAGGAGTTTCAAATATTGACCAATTATAAGTAAATTAAGAGTCTCGATGCCTATTTAGAATACTTATTTATGACTCAGTTAGGAGTTTCAAATATTGATCTATTTTAAGTAAATTTAGAGTCGCAATGCTTTGTTAGCTTGAGGTAAGTGTTCTTTATAGAGAAGTTTAAAATTTAAAAAAAGAATCTATATATATAATTCTCTTCTAGGAGCCGCTAGAAAACAAGCTGCAAACGCGCCTAGAAAACAAGCTGCAAACGCTCTCCCTACCTCCCCACCCCTACATGATTTTAGTGAGCTGTGTTCACTCTAAATGTTTACAAGCAGAGCCAACGATTTTAAACGTAGGGGGGGGGGGGGGGGAGGAAAGGGGGGGGGGTTATGGTCCTTAACGAGCTACTTATAGTGTTTTAAAGAAATATTTTCAGTGGCAGCGTTGGTACTGTCAAATTCACAAATTTTGAATTACTGAAAAGTAGAAAAAACAACAACTAAATAGCGGCGTATGTTATGCCGCGGGCCGGCTCGTGTTTAAATAGAGCCAAAGCTTCACTCAGAATAGCACACCTGAACAAAAAGAATTATACCATCCTTATATTTTTTTTAAAATACTAAAACTGAGCAGTTGTTTTTTATAAGAAACTGATTCTAAGGTTAAAAAACATTTCTGCAATATTTATGATTTGTGTGTGTACAATTTTTACTAAACAAAATAATTATTACTAAAGGCTACAGTGATTATATGAAGCGTGATTCTCCAGAAAAGCGACTTTAATGAGTAGGAGTTCGGTTTTCGAACCTGACGGTCCATGGGGCAGGTGAAATAGAGTTCACCAATTCCCGTGACCTCAGAATATGAAGTGTTTAATAAGATCACTAGCCTGTGGTATAGCCTTAACTTTCATATATCTTACAAACTTACATATATCTTACATATATCTAAAAATATTTAATAGCCGCAAATGACAGGCTTTTCAAGCGCACTTTTGGTATAATGGAAATGTTAATTAATTGTGTACCAAAATTATTATTTCGATGAAGGAAATCAACAATTGATACTAGCAGATAATACACCGATTTGTTTTAGAAGGTAAAAGTCTAGATTTATCTAGAAAGTCAGACCTAAAAGGTCCAAATTTAGTTTCTAAAAAGTTCGTACGCTTAATAATTAGTTTAGTAGAAAGTCTTGATTATGCTTTAGAAATTGGATAAATTGTTTGTTAGTAATTGAGAAATATATTTAGTTAGATGAAAAAATAAAGCTTAACACGGATAAATATAAACTAGTAATTGGAAAATTTTTTTCATTAACAGCAGGATTGGAGGTTTTTGTTTAGTAACATGGGTATATTAAACTTTATAAGAAATAGGTAATTATATATTGAAGACAGTTGACAGTTTATAACTACATTTTACAATTAGATAGTCCTATTTATTTTAGAGCCGATTCATAATTTCTTTATCCGGGAAGTAAGTAACTCAATTAACTGTAAAATCTGTTATTTTTAACACGTAATGCAAAGCAAACTTCACAAAATAGGAAACAATTTTATTTTGTTTATAAATTTGTTAGAAGATTGTACAAAAAAAAATGTAACATGCATTTATTTAATTAAAATTATTTACTCTGTAAAATTCAACCTATCCAGAAAGGTTGGATAAGTAAGTTGATACAACTCATTTTTGAACCATGTTTTGCAATTCAGTATCATACCATGTGTATGAATTTAAAAAAATTCCAACAAAATATTTAATTTAAGATATTTGCCACAAGATTTTATGCTTACACTATTGAGCCTTGCAAAAATATCATTTAGTATACATTTTTCGGTCTTTAAATAATTCATAAAAGAACACATAACCTAATTGACTTTAAATTCATTCACATCATATATTTTTGCAAAAGCTGATTTAAGCTGTCTAATATATCTCAAAAACTGAGGGATCACTTTTCTATTATTCTTAAAGAAATCACTATACATACTATTTAATTTTAAAACTATGCAATTTATCTTAGATGAAAACATCAGTAAGTTCTAGGTAACAGGAATATTTAATTTAGAATATTCACTGTAGCTATAATATTCAATATTTAAAACAATTGCTAATTTTTTAAAAATGTACATTAACAGTCCATTTCCACACTTCTTATGTCTTCAATATATTTTTTATAATTTTTTTACTTCACTTATACTGTGCATCAATAATATATTTTGTAATTCATAACAATAATAAACCTCTTGTTAACAGTCGCAGCTAAATTATAAAAATCACCTAAAATATATCTCATTAAAAATGTTACATAATATGAAGGAAGCGGCAACTACGAGAAATGTTATACACAAATTAGTAAGTTTTTTGGAGCGGACGTAAAGAATTACATTTGTGTGTTGTTCCCAACCAATAAAATTTACACTCCTATTGTAGTGTGTTATCGATTTGAACTAAATGTAATGGTATAATACCCAATCTTACATGTATCGACACACATATTAAATGACCATCTAAATCTTTTATGCCAGGCACAACTAGATAACTGTTCGATTTGTGTAACCAATAAAAGAGTTTCCAACAAAGCAGGGGTCGGCAACCTTTTGAAGCGGAAGAGCCAAAAGTTACAATTTTCAAAATGTCCCTGGTGTTAAAGAGCCACTTACAATGTTTTATTATATAAAACCGTGAAGTTTTTTAAAATATGAATATGCCCTAGTAAAATTGTTGACTCCCGCTAATGAGCATATATTGTATGGCAAATGTAATGATAATTTTCACAGTGATATTTACAATTACAAAAAGTTTCTACAACAGTAGTATTTTATTTTGATAGTGACAAGTTCTTATTTTGTTGATACACATTTTATTGTTCGCCATCTGGAAAGCTGTCTGTCATGGAATATTTAGAAACAGAATAGTGTTCCTATTTTTCATAGACTTAAGAAACTACACAGCAGGATTTTAACATTGAATAGTTCAAAATGTTTTTTGAAAAAGTAAAAATGTATGGAAAAGTGTACGTTTCAAAAATATTGTATAATCAAAATAATATAAACCACTACATTGAACTTTAACACTTTAAAGATACAAGTTTATTGCTTAATACACACGTTAGATTATCAACTCGCCTTTTAAATCTCAGATGATGCGTTGTTAAAATTAAATCTCAAAGCAGGCAATTTTATAAGCTTTATTTTGATGTTAATCTTAACAAAAAGTTGGGACCTATGTCTATTTAAGTAGTCCCCCCCCCCTCACAAATATTGTGTTGTTACTGTGGGGAAGAGTTGGGGTTAATTACGCAGCATATATTTGTGAAATGGATGTCACATTGTTAAGCACAGTTATGAAAAGTGGTTGATATTCGGTTAGGTACAGACTAAATAACTCTATAATATGATGGTATAGTAGTTTTAAAATATTCCCTCCGTACCAATCAGCAGTTCGGGGGGCTGGGGAAGGTTGGGTAAGATGACACCCTTCTATACCTGTGGTTATGATGTTAGTTATGATAAATTAATGGCTAGAAACCAAAAAAAAAAGTTTATGGTTAGATTTAAAATATTGATTAGCTAATTTGAAATTTTAATTATTCATTTTTATTAAAAAGTACTTGGGGAAGTTTATCTATACAACAAATCTACTAATAAGTGAATTTTAAGTTGATAGTAAATATTATACTAAGTTTTAGAACTAATCTAAAATTTTAATCCATTAGAAGTCTAGAAGTAAAAAAAAATAATTATAATTGACATTGATTCAAGATAGGTAACTACACTGTTCTTAAATAATACCATCAGTCTGGTAAAAAATAGCACCTAAGTTCAATAACTCTTGATGTATTCTCAGGCCGGCCGGTGTGAGGACGGCAAGGGCAACTACTGGGCCATCCACCCAGCCAACATCCAAGACTTCATGCGCGGAGACTTCCGTCAGAGGCGGAGGTCGCGCCGACGAGGGCGGAAGAAGGAGTGCGACCTGAGCATGTACCACGTGCCCAACACGTATCTCCAGCCCCAGGCCACGCCCCTGGCCCAGGGGATGGGGTTCAACACAGCGGCCCTGAGTACAATTTATTCACCCTACACAGAGGCGGAGAGAAGGTAGGGTTCAGTGAGGGGTGGTTTCTAACATGAGATATACACATACATGAAGTCATATTCTTCTGCAGGATGGTGATTGGAAGGATTCGCAACGGAAAACTGCGCACACAAAAGTGTGCAAGGGCATATTTTGTTTTCTTAAATCGAGCATTTATAGACATTAACAATGAGTGACTGTACACTGTATCATAATAAAACATGTGTACGAAATATGAAAAATTAAAGTGTATTAGTATGTTTGCGCATTTTTCTTTTTGCGCAGTTTTCCGTTGCGCAGTTTTCTGATTGCGCATTTTACTGGGAATCGTGCAGGTTTGATAACCCCAGTCTCTTGTGCTAAATATAGTCACAAACTGTCAAAGCCCTTCCCCCAACCTTTCAGCCTACGCCCAACTCCCGAAAAACCATGTGTTTTTTTCCACTTTTAAAACAGTTAATTTTTTCTACTATGTAAATTGAGCTGGATCGAGAAAAGGGTCATTGGTCAGTTTTTATAACCCGAAAGTCTCGAGTTCAAATCCCTGTTCAAGTCAGAAGAACAACCATGCTGGGTATCTAACTAACGAACTGGTATGGAAGTAAAGGTGGCTGGGCATAGTGCCACACCATCCCTTCATATGCCGAGGTCAAGAAACATGAACTCTACTTCAACTGCACAATAGATTGAAAAATGGCTTCCAAGTTTCAGTTAAAAAATTACAATTTTAAACATCAAAGAGTTTTTCCAACCGTTTGAAATATAGAGATCTAGAAATAAATAAACATACAGTATATATTTGGCTTTAATGTACCTATATCCTGGGTTTGCATTAGAGTTAAGATTGGGCTCGTTGTTAAGATTAGAAATAAGAGTATACTTCACACGATGATGTAGTACAACATTTAGTTACAAACTAGTTTTGAACTCGAATTCATTTTTTATTCTAAAACTAAAACAATTATTTTTTATTGAAACGCTCGAAAATAGACAGTCAAAACTTTTTTTTCATATTATTATGATACGCGCTTAGTTTTTAAATTAAATTTCAATTTCTAAAGTTCAGCCAAATTACAATTAGTGAAAAAAAATAACGTTGAATTAAATGGCTGAAGTAAAGACTATCAACTGTCGTCTGCTGTATGTCGTCAGCTGAGTGAGGCGTCAACTTTAAAACTTGATAACAAATTTATCAAAGTCCTCTCGAAGAAGATAAAAAAAAAAAATTTAAACCTCTAAACCTGACACGCCTTATTCGTTTCTAATCACGTTCAGTGTTTCTTTCAGACTTTGGGTTGGAGGGTGGTGTTGAAAAAATAAGTATATTTTAAACGATTTAGTATAAATTAGGACGTATATATAGGGTATAGAAGACAAATGCAGTATGTCCATACAAAAAAACATAACCTCGAGAAAAATGAGTAGAAATCTATATAAATCACATTCCAATATTAAAGTAGTGCAAAATATTATGTTTAAACATTCATAACATATTTGCATTCTACTTTTCTGACATTGTACATGAATGTTCTTGTAGCATGTATTATTTATTACAGTATCAGTATAAATGTACATCGATTTGACCTAATAAGTGGACACACTGCATTAGTCCTCGATGTTAAGAGCTTGGTTAATTTAAATGTTTTTGTCCATACCAAACAATACCGGGAAAGTATTAAACATTTATTTTAATATTCCATAGGATTTTTCTGCACTAAAGAAGCCTTATAATATTAACAATCATACTATTTGTTATACCCTAGACCCCACGACCTTTAACCTTTCCCCTTCTCTCCCCAAGGGCCTACAGACTAGACGAGGCTCTGCTGCGACAGAGTATGAACAACCCGTTCGTCAAGTGGTACCAACAGGGCGTGGCCGCCCCTGGGTACGGGGTCTCCACGTCGCCGCCGGCGTGTGGTTCTGGCGTGTATCCGAACCCGAACCCCGTGCAGTGGCCACAAGCTTACACCGAGGCGGGCACACAGTCCATGTATCCGGCCATGAACCCCACCTTCACAAGATAGGACACGGCTGAGTTAGGTAAGCAGGTGGTTTGTTTATGTAAGCTGGTGGTTTCTTTATGTAAGCAGGTGGTTTCTTTATGTAAGCTGGTGGTTTCATTATGTAAGCAGGGGGTTTCTTTATGTAAGCAGGTGGTTTCTTTATGTAAGCTGGTGGTTTCATTATGTAAGCAGGTGGTTTCTTTATGTTAGAAGCTGGTTTCTTTATGTAAGCTAGCGGTTTCTTTAGGTGAACTGGTGTGGTGGATTCTGGGTAAAATAGTGTTTTTTTAAATATCAGCTTGTGGTTTCAATATGTAAACTGGTGGTTTCTGAGTAAAATTGTATTTTTTTTTAAACTATCAGCTGGTGATTTCTTTATGCTAGATTGTTTTCTTTACGGAAGCATGCAGTTTTTTTATATAACTGGTGGCTTCTTTAAGTAAGCAGTTGATTTCTTGATGTTAGATGGTGGTTTCTTTAGCTAAAACGGTTGCTTCTATGTAAACTGGTGGTTTTGTTAGGTAAACTGGTGGTTCCTCTAGGTAAGTTGGTGGTTTTTTTTCGATAAGCTAATGATTTTGTTTTTTTGCAAACTGCTGTTACTTCGGGTAATCAGGCGGGTTTGTTTTATGTAAACTTTGAATTTTCGTATGAACTGGTGGTTTCTTTACTGTAAACTTGTGGTTTATTTAGATAAGCAGATAGTTTCTTTAAGCAAGATGGATTTTTTTGTGATACACTGCTGTTATGTTAGGTAATTCGGTGTTTTCCTTACCGTTAAAGTAGTTGTAAGTCGGTGGTGTCGTTAAGCTGGTGGTTTATTGAAGAACACGGGTTGTTTCTATGGGTCGGCTTGTGGGTATCTGTACGTAAGCTGGTGGTTTCTGTATTCCAATGTTAGTGAAGCAGTTTTTACCTCATGTTTCCTAACAGTTCAGTAACGTCCAAAATTTCTTGTAAGTCTTGTCTGGTTACTGGTGTTAAAGTATCTCATACTTTCTAAGTTTGTTGTTGTGATGTCGATGTTGTTATTATCTTTAGCCTCTCCATTTAACTCTTCTCATTGCTTTAGATTCTTCTGTGTTTTTTTTTTTTTTTGACGCTGCTTTCCTTTCCCGAGCTCTTGAATTTTTCTATCACAGACTGTTGTGGTTTTAGCTCTGTTATGCTATGTAATGTACAGTGTTTCTTCCAGACTTTTTTCTCCGGGGAGGCACTTAATATTTTCCGGGGGGTCGGCCAACATTTTCTTTGGGGGGAGGGAGGGGGGGGGCTGACACTAGTAATAGTTTATGTTTACTATATAAATGCCATCTCGTTCGGGGGGGGGGGGGTAGACTTTCTTTGGGGGGAATCCCCCCAGGGATGCCTGGAAGAATCTCTGGTAATGTAAGTTGTATCGTCCGCGTATGCAATTATTATATTGCTGTTTGCGTTTGAAATATGCAGTACTATAATCAAGTTGTTCTGTTTAATATCTTCTAGTATTTGCACGAGTTTAATTATGTGAAGTAGTGAGATAAAGGACGGACGTGTCTAAGTGATTTTTGTATGTGAAATTTGCGTCTGATACTGTTGTTTATTAATACATAACTTTGAGCATTGTTGTATACTATTTTTTTCCATGTTTTAAAATAGGGTCCTAGGTTGTAAGCATCTAGTGTTTTCATTAACCATGTATGATCTACTTTATCAAAAGCTTTCTGTTGGTCGATGCTAAGAATTGCTAGTTGCGTGTCAATTTCCGTGCTACAATGTACGATGTCTCTAATTAAGTGCGTGTGGTTTTGTATGTTTCTACAAGTATACTGTATTGCTGATCATGGTGTATTAACTTAGAGATTAAAGATTCGATTGTCTTAACTAATATTTTTGTCAGTATTCTATAATAGCTAAGTAGTGATATAGGTCTGTAATGTATCACGTTATGTACCAGAAAAAGTGGTCTATAAGCAGAGGCATAGCGACCCTTCCCGGCGCCCGGGGACAAACTTTTGATTTGCACCCTCCCCCTCAAACTGTCTATTTGCACCCCCCCCCCCCTTTAACACTTTCGATTACTTTTTCCAACCCATTTTGGCGCCCCCTAAGGTCGGCGCCCGGGGACATGTGTCCCCCCTGCCCCCCCCCCCCCCCCATCGCTACGCCTCTGTCTATAAGCTCTGAAAAAAATGTGTCGCGTAATCCTCTCTATTGTGTATATCTTGAAACACAGCTTATAAAATGTGTCTATGTCGTTTTTTATTTTTCCCCCAAAATTTAACTGCCAGTCCATCCGGTTTTGGAGTGTTATTCAATTTTAGCCGTGTCGATCGTCTTTGATATTTGATGTTTTTGGTGTTTTCGTTTTTGTGTGGGGTTAAGTCGTCATTGTCTAGCATCCTAAATTTTTAAAATTATTTTTTTATCGCTGCCTGAGACATGATTGTAATTTACAGCGGCAGTTTACCTTGCCATGATCGCTTTAGTACTACAGTTTTCATCATCGGCTTGTGAGGACTGTTATAGATTTACAAAAGCAACACTTCTTTCTGGCATGTATTTTTATTTATTGAAAAATTCTGAGGGGTGCGGGGGAGTAATAAAACCCAAGAACATATATATATATATATATATATATATATATATATATATATATATATATATATATATATATATATATATATATATATATATATATATATAAATATATATATATATATATATATATATATATATATAATATGTAAATTCTGAAATAAATAAAATGACATTATTTTTGGTGTAGTGAGATTTGGGTATGAGATAATCATTAAAGTTGAAATAATTTGAAAAGAAATACATTTTTTTCATTTTTTTTCTTCATTAAACCAAGCTTATATTCTATTTAGCACAGAAGGAAACAGAAGGAAATTAATATATATATATATGTTTATTTTATTTTTTTTGAGATATTTATATATTTTATTGTACAGTAACAGAAAATTCACCAAAAGTCTGACACTGACTTTATGATACATGAATAATTAGTCATGAAAAATTATGGGGAAAAAATGTATGCGTTTACAAGCCCTGTTAAATATTTTAAACAAAAAGATTTTCACAATAATTTCTAGAACGGTCGTTCCTGTGAAATTTTTTTTTTTGACAGGATATTAGTAGGTACAAAAACCTAACATTTAACTTAATACTTGAAGAGGAATTTTACTAAGTATACTTATAGCTGACAGAGCAGTTTAAGTTAAAGGTATTCCTAGATTAAGTGATTGGAAAAAGTTTCACCAAATGTATATACCATCTGTTGTTCTCTCATCACTAAACAACACTAAGCTTTAGAAAAAAATAACATTAATACTGTAAAACTTTCTCAGCCTCTTTCTGTCGATGCTAGAGTTCCTCTTCCTTCTCTTGCTTCTCTAAAGCAATTTATTTGTCCCGAATTTTTCTGCGCCCTTCCTGCTTGGCTGGTCTCACATATGAAAATAGGTATATATTTGGAAAGAAAGTAGAGTGCATCCTGCAACTGTTATTCCCATTAAAGAACTAACTGTCCAAAATAAAGTTTATCCAATAGTGCTGTTCTTGTAGCTTTCTTCATTGTGATAGCTATCTTTCACTTTGCATTCCCGACTTATTCCGGCTCTACAGTCAGTCAAATTTTTTTTTTTTAATATTTTATTTTTTTAATAAGAATAAAGCAAGTTACATTACATAAATAAATTGCCAAAATAATATTTGTTATTAACATTAGTATGGTTTAAATTTTCTGGCTTGTTTCATCTCTCGAACTTTTTTCTTGTCTTCTTCAAATTTTGCTTGCAGTTCCATAATATGTTTTCTTTTGGTTTCTCTAAATTGTCATTAATATAATATTTTATTTTTTTTTTTTTTTTTTTTTTTTTTTTTTTTTTTTTTTTTTAGGAAACATCAAATGACTTTTATTATCAAAAAAAAGTTTATTATTGGTATCATTAACAAATTACATAGAAATTGTGTACATTTTATTTACATAACAAATATAATCATTTAACAAAAATAAAAAATAGACCAGAAAATCTCAATATTTGTGAAAATCCAAACTTAAACTGATATTTGAATAGACAATTCAAACAACTAAGATCTGGAATGCTGATTTGTTAAATTAGTAAGGCTGTTGAAAGAAAGAGATGGGGTCATTTCATCCAAGTCATTAATATTTTTTTATTTTTTTTTATAATTTTCCCTCCACACAGTTTACTCTACTCGAGCAAGGAGTTCACTGTGCGGATAAGTCGCCTTTTTATTACATGAAAATTACATGAAATAGCATACAATGTACAATCAGTTTCACGTCTTGATTCTTGTTTCTTCTTGTCTTTACTTTCTTGCCTTTAGACTTCAGTTCCTTTTCTTGAATCTGCTTTTCCGTCTTGATTCTTGTTACTTCCTGTTTCAAAATGTCTTTACTTTCCTTCATTTTATCTTTTCTTGCCTTTCAGTATCTTCAATGATTTTGCTTCTTTATTTTCTCTTTTAATTTTGCTTCTTTATTTTCTTTTTTAATTTTGCTTCTTTATTTTCTCTTTATAATTTCTTTTATTGATTCCTATAGAGCTTTGAGTATAGGTTCAATTGTGTTGGGACGGAACATCCTACCTAAGATTGCTCCTAGATAGGCGTCGTCTAGCTGAAAAGAATTGATTATTAGCCCCTGTAATAGATTGAAATAATTGTGAGGTCAAGGGAACTCACTCTTCTGTATTAGTTATATTTATAATATTGTTATCTTGAGTGATGTCCCTTGTGCATTGTACTTCCGTCCTTGCCGGTTAACAATTAAAGCTGTTTACATACTCATGGCTTCTGTCTCCGTTGTATTCATAATCTACCTCAACTGGCGACGAGGATAAACATCTACTAGAAAGAGCACCTACTTACGCAAAAAAGAGGTTTGCTAGAGCTTATTAGCTAATTATTTCTAGAATTATGGCGCTGTATGGCCAAATAAAAGAATTTGATGCGAATGATGAAATCATTCAAGATTACCTAGAGAGGTTAAGCTTTTACCTAGAAGCAAAC